ATTAAACTATAAATAATAATGAAAAAGCAAGTACCTTGGTAGTATTCTTTGTGTGTGCGCAAACGCATATGTGAGTTCACTTTGAATTCGGTCACACTGTGTACGGGTCCATCTTTCTTCAGTTGAAACACACGCACTCCCTGTTTACCGTAACCATAATCGCCCATGCGATAATTAGGCGCTCGAGGATCTGGTATTTTCGAGACTTTGCTGGGATCAGCATTGTGCAATTGACGAGTGAACATCTTGACGACGCAGAAAAACAGAACTTGTTGCAGCTATCACCGAGATTTGTTGTGTAAGAGCATGCACAAATATGCACCTTTTATTATAGCGCACAATATGTGCATACTTAAATTATTATATCTTATCAGCTTGAACCAAAAAGTACATATGTACAAATATATGTACATTAAAAAAAACTGAGTATGAGATAATTTTTTTTCGAAGTCGCGAAGCTGATTATCCAAACTGATTAGTGACGATGATATCTATTTATATTCGGGATAAAAGTACTTCAAAGATTTAGGCCTCAGTTTCAACGATCACCTCTTCATTGGTTGGCAAGATTTTACGAGAACTACGCAACCGATTTTCATGAAATGAAACAGATCTTCGAGAAACAATTCTTAAAGACTTTGGACGTAGGATTTTTTTCGATACAACTAGTTAAAAAAAATGTTGCGAAATTTCCATTTTTTGTAAAAATGTCTGACCAAAATTCAAAATTTTAAGAGTTCAAATATTTCATGTTTATTTGGTTTTTAGTAAGGTTTCGCATTAATAATATTGTACAATATAATGTATACTGATTGATATAAATTTTGATTATAAAAAAATTATTTATAACATTATTATTTAAACAAAGAGTTTCTCGGATAGCACGTTAAATAATGTGTGGTGTTTCGTGTTGGGTATATTTACACTTAATTATCGTTGGTATATTATTTAGCTTGATTAAAAAAAAAATTATGTATGATAGGAGATATAAAAAGCTAAGAATGGAGGTCAAATTTAAAATTACATTTATATTTATACCGCAGACCATTAAACCAAAACAGATTAACCATCATTCGTCTTTTGTTAACACCAATCAGCTCAGTAAACATATCTGGTACTTTTTAAATATATAGGTAGTAAAATAAATTTCATTTAGCCTGTCTCCAGTATACACCACCAAACCTCTATTAGGTATTTTAGGGCTAAACTAATTGAAGTAACTGACTGTTTTGTGATTGAAATTCTGTGTTCTTCATGAACTGCTTGGTTTCAGTAATTTACCTCAAACTTGTGTATGTATGGGTATATGACGCATAATCATTGGCTTCTGGATAATATAACTGCGAAGAACAAGAAGTGTATATTTGTAATTCTTTACGTGTCAAAGAATAATGATTTTAGTGTTAGAATCTTTTTTTTTATTATTTTCAATTGTTGTGTATGGTACACCGACAATTAAATCAGTCATTAGATTCCATAGCCTACAATTGTGGGCGCGCTGCATTCTCTGTATAACAACAACAACATAATTTGCTTCTCACCGCTTTGTATTTCGAACTGGGCTGGGCGAGTTATGTGTCGGACTACGATTATGTCGCACGGGGCTACTCGCTGTGTTTATAGTTTGATTTGCTGATTTCGGTGTAGAATTTGTAGTTTTCAATATTGATTGTGGTACATGCGCTTTTCTTATCGGACTAAGTATTTTTCTGGAAGTCACACTATTCCACGGCTGTGGCTTTAGATTCAGTTTAGATTTCAACAAAGGTTCACAGCGCATGATCGGTTTCGTCGACAACCTTTTAGAATAGCTATCCAATTTGTGTCCTAAATCATTCATATATTCCCGCAGTGCTTGTATCTCTAAGGCCATAGCTTGACGATCACGATCCATGCGTTGGTTTTCCAAAAGCATTTCTTCGAGAATTCTTTTCTGTTTTTGCACCTCGAGCAGTCGCCTATGACTGGCGGGATCATTGTAATCCTGGTAATTATGTATCGCACGACGCATGCGCTGTTGTTGTTTTTGTGCTCGAGCCGCTTTTATTTGTGGTATGGAAGTCGCTTTAAATGGTATAGTTGGTTTCGTACTATTGACCTTTGAATCTGGTTTAGTTTCTACCATTTCTGATTTAACGTTTGTGTTTTGATTTTGTGGTGAAGCTTCTGCCGGCGTCTCGTTCGTTGATTTTTCTTCGATGATTGCTGGTTTCTCAAGTCTTCGAACTTTCCGATCTAAAACGTTACGCATATGAGTTCCACTGACGGTTCATACATACCTTCCATACATGCTTAACTTACGTACTTCTTAGTTTATTATGTACAGATGCTACAATGCTATTGAAGGATGTACTTATTTCGGCTTTAACCGGTCTCTCTTCAAGGACTTTGCGCTTTCCCGTTAAAATATTGGCAATAAAGTATGTTTCAACGGGCAAAGTGACCTCTTTTAGCTGTCGATCAACCATGTTTGGTAAATTTAAACGATTCATATTGAGTTCAGATGCCATTGTACCTTGTTTTTATATTTTTATTAACTTTAAAAGTAGAAGTAATTTATTAAAATAAGCCAAATTTAGTCTTTACTTAAAATTTAGAAGCATTAACAATGAAGTTTAGAGAAACAAAGATAGCTAATTTTATTTTTATAGTTTAATGAGTGAGGTTTATTTGAAAATAAAATCATGGGTTTTTTTTTTACTATGTTCTTTCAGTTCAATGAAATGTAGAGATTGAATAACTGCATATACCTATATTTCTGAGAATTATTGTGATTTCGTCGGTTTACCATATACAGGGTTTGTCCGGAACATAAAAGGACTGAGTCGAATTAAAATAATTTATTGAACCAACCGTTACAATTTCTTTAAAAACAGCGCTGCATTGAAGGCGTCACGGAAGGCATTCTCCGGAATAGCCTTAAGAGCCGAGATGCATGCTGCTTCCATCCCCTGTCGTCTTGAAATGCTTGTCCTTCATCAACCTTTTCAAGCAACAAACAAAATAATGTCCATCGGAGCCACATCTGGGGTGTAGGGCGGCAGCAGAAGCGTTGGGATGGCAGCCTTGGTTAGGTAGCTGTTATCAAGAAAGGCGATATGAGCCGAAGCGTAATAGTGGTGCAACTTCCAATCGGGTGTGATATCTTGTCGGACTGTGTTGACCCTTCGTTTGAGTCTCTTGAAGACTTCCACGTAAAACTAGGTATAAACGGTTGTCCAGAAAGAACAAATTCATGGTGGACGATGCCTTTGATGTTATTCTTCTGGTCTTCATCAGCGACCTCTCCCCGGACACTCCGATTTACCGAGTTTCACACAGAATTTAATTTCGTACCTCCACGTAGAATATTTTGGTGTCAAAACTGAATAAAATCGGACTAGACAAATCAATCTTCCAATATAACGATTTCCGTACTAGACATTGCCTTTTTGGCTTATATACTTGTGTATGTGTGTATACCGAATATATTTGACGATATTCTGGTCTGCTATTAAAAAGTATGGAGGAAATCATAGCTGCCCTAGAAAAAGTAACACGAAACTTTAACCGAAATTGGTAGCCCACACACATTTTTAACAAGAGAATTAACCGCTAGTTTATAGGATAACTAAACTGATATAAGCAAACTGACAAACGCATACCATTTATATACTAAGAGCGAGGCGCAGCTAAATATTGCTGATATAAGTTTGGTCGCATTGTTAGTCAGCAATAAATGCAACCCTGAGTTTTGCACTGTGGCAAATTGGGAAAAAACAAAGCTAGCGAGAAAAATGGAGAAACCTGTCAAAAATTTACAAGCGTGCAGTTATGAGAGAGCGTCTAATTTCAATTCATTTTTAATGTTTTTATTTAAAAGATATTTCATATAACCATTGTCCAACTCAGAAGAAGTGCATATTTCCAGACAATATAAAATGGGATCGTCTAAAAAGCATAAGAAACACAAATCCGAGCGCAGAGAAAAATATGAAGGTTTTCATTGTCTGATAAAATGTAAATATATTGTTGTTTACAGTGATATTTTTTAGAATATAGCAATAGCATGGATCCTAATCAACTCCAACGAGGTTTGAAATTAATCCTTAAGGTAGGCTCCAATTCCACACCCGAATACAGTGGTGATTCTCCGCTTGCCGGTCCACCGACTGCCGTAGAGGCAATGATGTCTGCAGCGCCTAGTAGCCCCATGGTACAAGATGAGCAACATGATGAATACCATGGAGAAAAACACAAAAAATCAAAGAAGAAGAAGAAAAAGAAGGATCGAGAAAAGAAGCATAAACATCACAAAGAAAAACGGCACCGCAGCGAGCGACATGAACAAAATAATGGTGCCGAATACCGAGATATTACTGCAGATGTTCCAAATGAAGAGTGTAAAATGGATGAGGAGATTCCAACAACAGTTGCTACAGTACCTATTGCACAACGTAGCCCGAGAAGTGCGCCACCACCAATTGTGGATGGCGATTCCAGCCAAGATGGTTTCAGTTTCATAGAAGATTGCGATTCGCAACCATTACCAGAAAATATACTTTTATATGCGGGTATCACAACTGATAATTCTCCATCTTGTCGACCAGTGTCAAAACCCATAGTGCCACGTAAATCCGATGATACTTTAATTGACTCGCCTGCATCCTCTTCTATGCAATCTTCTTCATTTGGGGCAGCGGTAATTGGAGGGATTAGTCCTACAAAACCCTTACAGGATGTAAGTTGATGGAAATACTGGAAAAATTTGCTTTAAAATTTATAATTTAATATTTGTGTAGCTATTAATACCGTCACCATCAGCATCGACAGCAGCATCAACTCCCGGTGGAACTAGTTCCTTGGCTGCGCTTACACCAAAACCGTTAGAGGCACCGAAAACTCCAAGCTCATCAAGTGAATCTGGTCGAGAACCGCGTACTTGTGTACTTAAACTGAAACAGCAAAAGTCGCCTTTGAATAAGTTATTAGATCATTTGTTACGTTTTCTTGAAAAAAGGGATCCTCACCAATTTTTTGCCTGGCCTGTTACTGACGACATAGCTCCCGGTTATTCATCAATAATTACTAAACCAATGGATTTTTCTACCATACGCCAGAAAATGGACGATAGCGAGTATAGCACTTTAACTGAGTTCACTGATGATTTCAAGTTAATGTGCGAGAATGCTATCCGATATAACCATGTTGATACTGTTTATAATAAGGCTGCGAAACGGTTACTACAAGTAGGCACGAAACATCTTATGCCTGAAAATTTAATACGGAGCCTCAAACCTTTATCGGGTTACCTGCGTGACTTAACTGCTAAGGAACTAGGTTTCGATTTACATGGCGATTTTGGTAGTTACGATCACCATGCTATTGACTCAGCAGATGAGGGCGCCTCCACGGGAGCGGAAGAACCAACTCCTGCACAATTAGAAGAGGAGGAAAAACGGCGAGCACTTCGTCTGGAGAATGAACCAAAAACTCGCTTTGAACCCTATGTAGATGATCTAACTTCCGAAGAGATACTGGCACAGGTACAAGGGGCGGCACTAGCTGCCAAAAAAAGACTATCAGCAAAAGAAAAAGCCCATAAAATGGGATTCTTGCGGCAGAATAGAGATGGGACCACTTCGCTAAATTTACTTATTAAAGATGAAAACGAGGGACCAGAAAAGGTGGTTACCCTTGGTGAACTAGTAGGCAAATTGCAGTCCGGCTCCGGACAATTGTTTTCTTTGCGAGAAGACAAACGAAATGATGCGAAAACGGTGAAACCACTTAATTATGGTGCTTTTGCTTCCTTTGCGCCAAGCTTTGATTCGCGGTTTTCAAATCTAAGCCGCGAAGAAACCCAATTGGTAATGCGAACTTATGGTAAGTAATTAAGTATATTTGGTTGTAAACAGTAAATTTATTTCTGTTCTCGTTAAGGTGATGCTACAAGCACAGAGTATGCTGAAAGCATATTGGAATTCACCAAAAATTCTAATTATGCACTAACTTTGGCTAATGGCCTTTTGGACATGCTCACTAACGGTGAGCACAGTAAAGCTATGTCAGATCTTTATGACATGCAAGTACAAAATCACGAACAGAATGAAGTCTTTAAGTGTTTTAGTGCATGCGGTGGATTTGGTGGTCTTCAAACTGTAAATACGGCATCTGAGACGCGAGAACAAATTGAAGAAGAATATGAAAAGTACAAAAACACACGCATTGATTTTAATCGTTTGCGTACCCTAAAAGACCTAGGCATTGATATTGACTTTTTAGATAACATTGAATCTGAAATGAAAAATTTCGAATTGACTCGTCGTCTTCAGGAACATTTGAGCAATAACCTAAACTTAATCGAAAAATTGCGTGCCACTCAACACGAGCGATTATCACAGCCACTGCCTCAACATTTGGCATTTGTGCCTCAAGCTGGGGCAGAGGAAGTGCATCTGGCACACCAAATCACACAACAACTCAGTGATGTTGCCAAAAAATTACCACCATCGGCTGTAGTAGATCCATATAGTCTTCGTAAAGCGATGGGGATGTCAAATGGTGAGCTAAACTTGAATGTCTTGCATCTTTCAAAAATTTTTCAATATAAATTTTTTTTTTTATGTAGTTGGTCTACCACCACCTCCCCAATCTGTCAATCAACGTGTAACATTGCCAGAAGTTCTTCAACAACCAGTTTCAATGCCCCAATTACAGCTAGATTCGCAAAATTCCACTATTGGCATCTCAAATGACGATGGGTCTAACGTTTCGGGCACCGGTATGCGTATGGAAATAGATGATGAGGAATTACGAGAAATTCTAGAGAGCGGTAACAGCGATTTAAATGCTCCGGCCGGCGCCGATGAAAATCCTTGGTTATAGAAAGGATGCAACAATAAGATTTGTTTATACATAATTTTGTTGTCGACTATTACATTTACTGATAAATATTTTTATAATTGGTTTTGCCAACATAAAATAAAGGCAAACACTTCTCAATAATTTAAATTAAAAACACTGCACTAGTTAATTTAATATATAATTTCATACTACTCTAAAAATAATGAAATTGATCTTAGGTGTATATTTATTTAAAAAAATTCGCCAATGCAGGGTTAATATAATTTATCGATTCGGGGTTATATCAATCGATTAGGTGATGACATTTATCGTCTCTATTCCCGAGCACGTTTTGTTTTCACGAGTTTCTATTGCCAGATTTAGATTAGTTTGAAATATTTCAATTTTAATTAAGTAAACTCAAAATAGAAACTTGCAATTACCGAGCAAAAAGCAGCATGGATAAAGAAATCATCGACCCAAACAAGTGTATTGGTAGCGAGGATGCAAATAATGTACACATCGATAGCCCTGTGCTACATGTATCTACAGACTCAATTCAAAGCATTGGTAAATTTTGTTTTTTGTATATATTTTGAAAAATACTAATATTTTTAAAATAGCACGTGTAAATGAAATCATTAATAGTGATTTGAATGACATTGAAGAAGCATCTGATACTTCACAACAACTGGTTGCAGATTCTAACCCACATTCGAAGGAAAATATGGACACAACTGTTGATTTGGAAGCTATCAGTGATAATAAAAACGCAGTAGAGGAATGCCATGTAAAAGAAAATGTGCCATTTGTATTGGGCAAAGCAGATGAAGAACGTGAATCTACAAATGATGCACACATTTTAGATAACGTTGCAAACAGTAATAATGTAATTATTGAGTCGGTTGTAGAACTTATGCCGGCCACGACAGATATATGTTATGCAACTCTGCAGGTTGAGGCTAACAAAAATATACTCCCTGACATAGTTGAAATTATGGACATTACAGATAAAGAAGTGAATGAAGTTCAGTTGATTAAAGAGCAATCAACGAACCCTTGTGCTGAGGTTCCGAAAACTGGTAATATTAATATAATATCATAACATATTTTTCTTTAACTATAACTTGTCTAACAACACGCTAATTCTAAATAAAATTGCAAATTTACAGCAGTTCCCAGTGGCCTGGGTTTGCTATCGCAATACGAATCCGATGCTGAGGAAGATGAATCAAACGAATCGGATACGGCGTCAGTAATTGAAGTACCGACTGCTGTGAATAAGAATTATCGCTCAACAGTCGTGGAAATTGAGTCGGACTCCACTGAAACCGTTTCGTCAGATTCTGAATCGGAAACAGAGGCCGAATATTTAACAAAAATTGCCAAAGTAATTGAGAAACGGATTCAAAGTAATGATGATAACGAGGACGAAGATGATGACGATGAAGAAGATGACTCGAAAAAGAGAGGACGACGACAACCTCCTCGCGTTCGAGGAGAAATATTACTTGATGATTTGCCGCCTATACAAGATCTTCAAATTTCAGTACCAGCAGAGGAATGTATAGAGCTTGGACGTGTACATTCAATTGTAGATCAATTACTATTGGTGAGCGCTTTACCAAATTCAATTTTGCTAGATTTGGACACAGTACTTTTTTTGGAAAAAGGAAAACGTGTTCTAGGAGAAGTGTTTGATGTTTTGGGTCAAGTGGCAGATCCACTGTATTGTGTTCGCTTCAATAACAACCAACATATTCAGGAGAAAGGCATAAATGTAGGTGATGTGGTTTACGTGGCACCAAAAACCGAATATACCCAATATGTTATCCTTTCGAGCCTTATGAAAATGCGTGGATCTGACGCATCCTGGGAAAATGATATAGAACCACCACCACGATATTTGGATTACTCGGATGATGAAGAAGAACGTGAAGCTCGCCACAAGCTGCGAAAGCATCGTCGACAGAGCATTAAAGAGGAGGACGAAGATAAAGAGGATGTAGATGATAAGGATAATGACCCTATGAAACGAAGCCGAATAAATGTTGTTGCTGGTGAAAACACCACAGATTCCCAACGGAGGCATCCTCGCGCTGCTGTAGGTAATCGTAGAGAAAATAGAAGACAAGATCGATTTGGGCAGCATAGTGCGTACTCACCGCGAACCTATCAACCGCAGCATAACACCAATAGTTGGCACTCACATTACAATCAACAATATCAGCAAAGACCGCCTGTACATAGTTATCATACACCATACGCCGGTCCATATCAGCAACAACGTCCACTATATCGAAACCCTACGCCACGACCAAATCAGTTCCATCAGTATTGTCCTCCTCAAATGCAAATGCAAGCACCTTCGCCTCACGCATTACCACCACCACAAATGACACCGCCACCTCCAATACACGCAATGACACCTCCACTCCAGATGCACCCAATGCCCCATCCCTCCACCGCATACGTGCCAAATCCCTTTGCTTTTCGGTCATCAAAGCTATCTCAACAATTCTCACAGCCTCAACCTACAACTTCAATTCAATCACCAGCAGAACCAGCTCCACCAGGTGCCGAATAAGGGCAAAGCCTTTGATAGGTTAGCTAATACATAGGAAATATAATTACTATTTGTATATATATATCTAGTAATTAATCAACAACAACATATAAAACTGAATTTATTTTTTTCATATTCATTTTACTTTATTTTATATTGTGGTAAAAATATTAAAATATTCTTAAGCTACTTTTCTGTAGGTACATAATTGAAGTGGGCGAAATCTGGGTTATTTGTTCATTAATTACTTTGCTTTAAAACACAAAACAATTCACTACGAATACTATTAAAACAAATATTGATTTAGTAAACAGAAAACTTCAATAAACAACAAACATTTAGCCATTATAATAAGCGATAAAATGTGCACTTAACACACACATACATGTACATGTATTCTGTTAACAATAACGTTAAAATCATATTTGAAATTTATGTATTTTTATATGAATGCATTAAGCTATAAATTTAAGTTTGCTTAAATATATACTATATAGTTTATTATTTTGTTTAAACGAGCGTCTGTATTAAAATTACATCGCCGAATTTTTATATACATATATGTACTTATTTGTGTAAATATAAACTTGTTTTCATAAAAATTTGAACTTTTCTCGAACGCATTCTTTTAAATGATCGTCTGTTGAGCACTGAAAACATTGCAAATTCGCACAAGTGTGCTGCAGGCACAAATATTCAACATTGACATAATTAGCATTTGAAAGCGTATAACGTCTATTTACAAAACAAAAATTGTGGTAAATATTCTTAGGGTTAAAGCACTTTTTCGTTTGCAATTGAGGATACTTTCGTGTAAAAATAAAATCTGCTAATTGTGGTAACTGTTATATGTATGTATATAAATCATTACCTTAACATGGTAAAAGTTCTATAAAGAATATAGTAATAATATTTTTTAAAATAACATAAAATCTTCCGACATGTATTTGTAATGTCAAATAATCGTAGCAAGTTAATATTCCAGATTCCAGCATTTTTAAACATTTCGAAGAGATATTGCAGGTCAAAGAAAGGCGTTGTAAGAACCTAACATATTAAGGTAATGATACGTATGCACATACATATCTACATATGTTTCTCAATATACATATATGTATGTATGCATTTGTATATTCGCTGTAGTTGATATCCCTAAAAACATTGCTAGCATCTATACTTTGCCTTTTTTTTAATACTTTAATATTTTTTGAAATTTTGAACAATATCGAGTCGATTTTTTAAAAAGATAATAACAACAGTAATATTGTCTTGGGAGTCTCCATCCTTTGCTAATTCTATAAGAATTTTTGGAATGTTTTCAATTTTTTGTTCAGTATCGGCCAATAATTTATAAATAGCGTCTACTATTTTATTTTCGGGAACATGATCAAATAAACCGTCCGTACCCAAAACGATAAAATCGTGCGCCCCCGTTAAGGAAACGTCCACAAAATCGGGTTCTGCAATCGCTGGAGCCACTGAATAATCGCCAATGGAGCGAGATACATTTAAAATGCCATTTACACGCCATTGCCCTTGGACATAAAGTACAGTACCACCACCTTCTGCCATTTCAATTCGTTTGCGTTCATCTGGCGCATCCGGTTTATGTGATTTAACTAATTGTAAACTTACCGTGGGGCTAACAAGTAATGCCTTTGAATCCCCTACCCATGCAACGTATAAATGCCCGTAAGACGGTGGAGTCTGTTGCGCTAGAAGTACACAAACAGCCGTTGTTCCACTGGAAATTCCTTTTCGAGAGAACATTTTATCTGTCTGTAGAAATGAATGCTCAAAAGCTTCTCTATACGCTTTAACATCATCAAGATCATTGCTGATGGATCGTAAACTTTCAGCTAGAAGGTATGGTATTTGACTTGCAGCGTAACTTGCTGCCAATGGGCCTGAATGACCATCGAATACACCATAAAAACTGTATGTAGATTTTAGTTTATATAATTCACTAAAACGTTCCAAACAAATATGGCGATCTTCCATTTTGCGTGGTTTATTTTTAATATGACCAGTTGTATAAACTACTGGTGGCTGCTTCGTATTGCAGTTGCATTTTGTTCCATCCAGACATAAATCTTCTGAATCTGCAAAATTCGGTATGTTGCTTAATTCAGAATTATCGGTCAAACGTGTCAGCAATTTTTCCAAATTGTTCACTATATACTTTTGTAATTTTACCAAATCATAAACCGTTTCATTATCTGTTGTCTTGGTGGAATCGTTTATGCCTTTAACAGTGAACTGACATTCCTTAGCATTTGAAAATCCCTGTTCGACTTCTGCAACGACGGCTCGCAAAATGGATATTTGAAAATATCGTGGACATCGTTTCAACTGTAGATGATTCCATACAGTCATAATTATTTCAGCGGACACTTCCTGAGAACACACTGGGTATGTTTCGTTGCTGCTGCGCGAAATGCAAGCACGATTAGTTTCTCCAGCATTGGTTGCATTATTTACTCTGTCCCGCACTAACTCACGAAGATAGTTTTTAAATTCACGTAATCGGGTGCATTCAACAGATTGCGCTGAGATTGCTCCATTTGCAGATTCTTTTTCAGACATTTCTATACTGAGCTATGCACATTCACCAAATTGTTTTATTGATTCTGATAAACTTCAAATGTTTTACTTCCTTTCATTTACATTAACTTAAATTGCTTTTTACACGATATATTTTTTGTTTTCATTCCAGCATCACAAATATTTGGAAGTATTTACGCGCGTACTCAGCTGATTTGTTTCAATGAGTAATAGTTTTTATCGATAATAATAAGACTCGATAAGTAAAAAAATCGGAACATACAATTTTTTTTTTTTTAAAGACCCCCTTTTGAAAATGGTATTCATCCAAAGCCTTTATTTTCTAAAAATTTCAATTTACTAAAAAAAATTGTGTATGACATAATGTATTTTATGAAAGACGATTGCTATATCCTTTAAATTACATCATAATTAGTAATACAAAAGAAAAAACAAGCGCCACATTTTCTTTAAACAAGAAATGTTTTGACAAATCTTAATTTTGCAATCTTAATTTAATATTTTGAATTAAATTTAATTAAAGGTAGTAATAATAATGCTCAGCTTTGTGATATACATATATAAATAATCACTCATCTAACGTTATATGTAAATTCGCTGAAGGATGCAAACCCAATTCCTTCATTGAAGAACTATCATGCTCTGCCTCAAGCGTTTTTCGAGGGAACGCACAAATCAATTTGTATGTGCCGCCATTTTTTGTAACATGTGCATGCTTTTCAGCAATATATAGTCGAAGCACTTTCAGTAGCGTATCCGATGGCCAACGCAACTGTACCACCTCATCATTACCTTCGGCATTGAGTAAACGTAGTCTAAGAGCAGTTAGTTCGTTGGTAGTTTTACCAAGCTGAGTTTCATATGATGTATTAGTATGTTCGTATGCACTTTTGCTATCCTCGTCACCGAATTCTTCCATCGACTCGAATTCACTACTATCGTCCGCATCATTAGTGCCCACCTCACGGTCTTCATTATTAGCAGCATGTCTACTTTTACCTTTGCCATTTGCATTACCATTTTCTCGCATGGAATTGCGTATCGCCAAATTAATTTGCTCTTCTTCTGTTAGATCGAGCAATTTTAAGCGTTTCTTTTTCTCTGTACAGCCCTCCACCTCCTGTTCATCATCTGACAAGGTAATAGTGCGTTTGGAAGTAGATGGACTGTCATCAGCACCGTCATCCATGAATTCCTTGTGTTCACTAATAAATTCGCGCAACCCACATAAAACATTCGATTCCTTCGGCTCTATGCACTTCCACATCTCTTCACCAGTGCGTGGATCAACCACACAAACATACGGCAAATTCGCACAATGATAAAATGTAACAAAACGACGTCCCTCCGAAGTATCGGTATCAATCTGCGCATATGTTGAATTAATAATTCTTATTTTTTAATTAAGTTTGCATAACCATACTCACTTGCCACAATAGAAATCTTCTTTTAATAACCTGCCGCACTTCTTTGTTGGACCAAACGTCGCGATTTAATATTTGTGAATTAAAATTTTCATCTTGAACATTCACAAGCAACCATTGGCTGAGTGCCGTCGCACGAGCACGAGCTGCCTGGAAAGTACCAGCAAATGATATATCAGTTGGTGGACGGAAGAGATCACCCAAACGCGATGAAGTGGATGGTTTGGAATCTGTAGGCTGCACTCTAGCAGCTGATGTCACCATAGACGCAGCGCGAGTACTAGCCCAACGTCGACCTGATGCTCCATTTGATGATCCTAAACCAGATGCGTCTGCTTGCAATTGTTCTTCCATTAGTGCTCCTTCACGTGCGAAATCACGAAAAGGACACACTTTAACACGCTGATTCATACGTTGCATTCGTCCCGAAGCAGATAAAGAAGGTGCAGCTAGAAAATTATCATCTTCAGGTCCTATTAATTGTTCACGCTTTGGCGCTATAGGTGCTCGAACATTATCTTCATCGTCAATAACTGGTGGTGGGACGGCTTCAGCAGCACTTCCTCCTTGCTCAAAATACAAGGCAACAGCTGACTCTACGTCGTTGTTGCAGGCACTCAATAAGTGTTTAGCCTCATCTGCATTTGCACCCGTTACTTCAACGACGCGTTCCACCAGTTCCTCATTTGGTGTGGACATTTTTACCAAACTTATGTATTCAAGTTCAATATGAATAACTCGATTTTATATTGCAATGATATTTAAAAATTTAAGAAAACTTTTATTTTAACAGCTAGACCTTTTTACTGCACATGCAACAACAAGCGTACAAAAGTATTCTCTTCTCTGTTTATTTCATTTGACATCTGGTTTTCTCCTCTTTTATCTGTCAATAACGTATCGTCGATACAGGGTGTTTGATAGCAAAATTTTTTATGAATGTTTGCCGATTAATATAAATATTTAATTTAACAATTTTTGTGTCTACAATTGAATTTCTAACACTTTAATAATATATAAAACAACAATAATTCGCCAATGTATCATATGAC